AGCTGGAGACGGACGAGATGGGCGAGTTGGTGGCTGGCGGCGGTGGTCGTGCTCCATCTTCGACGAATCTGCCCTCATCTACAGCAATCATCAATCCCTCTACCACCACCACCACCACCCCATCAAATATCTCGATTCTGGCGGGTGGCGGCGGCGGCGGTAGCCCCCGACAGAATTGGGTCTAGGCCGCGTTTCGTTTTTTTTAAACATTTTGTTGTGCCTTCCCCCCGTCGTTCTCGGTTGCTTGTCGTGTCTTTTCTCTCTCTCTCTGTGTGTCTTTTTCCCCCCGAAATGGCCTCTGCTCGTTTTTGGGGTACTGGACTGTTAGCGGGGGGCTTTTTCTCGAATTTTATGCATTTTTTAGCTAAAAATCAAACACTCCTAGAAACTTTCGACGAATTTCCGCTTTGGCGAAAAATATGAAACAAAAAAATGTACATTTTTCGAATTTTTGAAATTTTTTGAAAATATTTTGACGGGTTTCTAGCAAGCAACGGAAAGAAAAATTTTTAAATCGTGTTTCATCCAGTTTTTCGTATAAAAAGTTTACAAAAAAAAAGTTATAAATGGGAAAACGGCGAAATTTTCGAAATTTTGATTTTTAAAAATCTTTTGGGACTTTCTAGCCATCAAAACCGCGTCCCTCCCCCGCTAAGAGACCAGTACCCCCTCCCCCCGCCCCTCCCCTACCGGCTGACCAATCCACACATAATATTTGGTGAGTGTGAGCTTTTTTATGTTTTTCTGTCTCGCTCTCTCTCGCTCTCCCTGGGTCTCTCTCTCTCCCGCAACAATTTTCGCCGATTTCGCCGATTGCTCAGTTTCACCGCCCCTTTTTTCTCTGGCCTCTGTGTTGTCCCGCTCTCTCTTACTGGCCCTATCTATAGCCGCGTGTCATTATCCTCATCATCATCACCACACATGGGAAATAAATACGTTTTAGCCGAAAATTCGGTTTTTGTAACGCCTAGTCTGGCGCGCAGAGTGCTATCGTATCGTTTCGTCGCGCCGACCATCGCCCGGGATCTTCAGAAGAAAATTCGATTCGGGGAGGGAGAGAAAGGGAGAGACGGAAAGAACGAGAAAGAGAGAGGAAGAGAGAGAGCGAGAGAAAGTGAGAAAGTGAAACACGGAAAACAATGCAAAATTGACCAGGTGGCTAGGCGAGGGAGACAGAGAATGCGAGAGAAATATAGAAAAGTAGACGGCGGCCATGACTTTTTCTTTTTCTTTTTGGAAAATGAGATTTTCGATAAGTCACTGTTATACATTTTGCCCTTCGGGTATATTTTTCTGCCGCATTATCGGGCCGCGCTGAAAAAATTGGGTCCCAACGATTCTCCAAAAAAAAAAACCCCCCGAAGTCGTCGAGTCGAAATGGCTGTCTGAAAAACGGAAAAAATGCCTTTTCGGAAATGTGCTGGGGAAACCAAAATGAGACACAAGGTCAGGCTCACCTTCCAAATATTGAATACATTTTCGAGGTGTTCCGGCAAAGCAAACTAATCAAAAAGCCCCGACGCATTTTTGGAACTTTAGTTCAGGTTATGCCGTTTTTGCAGCCCGATCCGGGGTTTCAGTTTCTTCAACTCGCCATAGCAAAACAATTTGTCCCAGCTCCCCGGGATTTTCTTTTCGTTTATGGCAAACTGACTGGCAGCGAATATTTTGCGTGTATAAACTTTGCATTTGCCCCAATCTAAAATGTTTAGAAACTGCTTTTAGTTAGTCCGCGTGGATGGCCGATCCTTGAAAAACGCCATAGCTCCTCGATTCCGTCCTGGCGCCCATTTTTATCGATTGGTTTCGGTTTTCTAGATGGTAATACATCTAAATCTACGCGATAAACAGGTTTTTGAGCTTTATTTAGGCTATTCGGGGCTTTTTTTGTGGTAGCGCAGGGGTGTTCACATCTACAAAACTCGCTATAAAAATCTATTTTGTTTTTTCCCCCGGGATTATTCTTGCGATTATGGCAAACTGACTGGCAGCGAATCTTTTACGTACATAAACTTTGCATTTGCCCCAATCTAAAATGTCTAGAAACTGCTTTGAGTGGGTCTGCGTCGACGACCGATGCCTTCAAAAACGCTAGAATTCCTTCATGGCGGCCCAGCGCCCATTTTTATCGATTAGTTTCGGTTTTCTGGATGAAAACGCATCTAAAAATACCCCTAGCATAACCCTTGGGTTCTATTTGTGGTTATGCAGTTTTTCAGGTAGCCGGCTCCAGCCTTATAACTTTACAAAACACCTTCTAAAACTCATTTTGCCGCTTTCTCGGGGTTTTTTGTTGACCTAGCTGCCCACTGGCTGCCAATAGATAGAATGCCCCTCAAAAACGCTGCCTTTTTCATCATTTGGAATTTTTCGAATGAGTTTTTTGACGAAAAGAAGTGCCCGTCCTCGGGGGGTAGCGAAGCCTTTAAAAACAGAACTTCACCCCCCCCATCCGCGCATCCATTTTTAACGCTCGTCCCCTCCCGCAATTTTGTTTTACGCTTACGTTCCGTTCTCCTTCGTCTGGCCTGTCAAAATCCCGGACTGAACTCTTTTTTTTCAGGGTATCCGGCCGGCGGGGCCGGCTAGGCGGGGGCGGCGCGGCGGCGCGCGTCAAGGTGGAGCGCGCTACGACATCGCACCGGCAAGTTTTCTTCAATCTTTTCAAATATCGGTTTTTTGTCAACCAAATTTTTTTCGGCCCAAGCAAAAGTTTTTTTTTAAAAGCGGGTGCGTTTCTAAATGGTTTTTAACTATGTCTAAGCATAAAAACTATACAAATTTTCATCAAAAAATTTAATTTTACGCCGAGAAATTGATTTTTTTTTGTTCTTTGGATCAAATGATTCAAATGTAAATAGGGGAAGTGTTTCTAAATAGTTTCGTACCATTCCTAAACGTGAAAACTTTGCAAATTTGTTTTAAAAAAGATTTAAAACCAGATTTTTTTGGATAGAAAGGGTGATTTTTGACGGAAATTTCGCCTTTTGAGCATTTTGAAAAGTTTTTAGCTAGTTATTTTAGCTAATTTCTTGTTGAAATATCTGTCAGTTTGTATTTGTCGTTATTGATGAGTTTAACGCCCCGTTCTTCCAGGGAATCATCTCGTCGACGCAGTACCAGCAGCGGGCTCGAGGCTGGCGACGGAGACACGCCACCCCTACTTGCCGGGGGTGGCGTATTGTGGAGCGACTTCATTTGCTAGGTATTTAACTGTTTGAATGGTCCGCTTGGCAGCTAAAAACTCTTTGATCACCCCATCTCATCACTTTCGCAAATTTTCTCCGCTAACTTGCCTCCGGGAGTCGTCGTGGTTCTCTTGGGCCTCTACTAGCTGGCCATCGAAATTTTGTTTAGGTTCTAATTTTTCAAACGCCAATTGTAGATGTGTTAAAGATTCAAGTAGCTTAAAGAATTATATTAAAGTAGATATTATCAGTCGTGTACAGGGTGTCCCAACCTCCCCCCCTCGCCATTTGGCCGTCTTCTATCCGATCGGGGCCAAATTTTTACCAGCTATCGGCACCCAGAAAAACTATGTGCAGCCGAATTTTCAAAGGACAATATTGTAAAACAAAAAAAAAAAATCCCAATTTAGCCTCTATTTTGCCGATTTCACTAGGATTTTGCTGGATTTGGACCTCGAAATGTTTGACAAAAATGAAGAGGCCACCTTTTTCACCGAAAGGAGTTTTTTTTGGTTTACGAAAATGACGTCGAAATTGCGACTTTTCAGCCCTTTTTTACGATCAAAATTGACCGAAACCGACTCGAAAAGGAGAAATTTAGTCGAAAAAGAAAGGTTAGCGGGGGGGGGGGACCCGGAAGGACTAAATTTTCGACTTTTCCAAACATTTTTCTAACTTTTTTTGAGTTTTTTATTACTTTAATGATAGTTAAAACTTACTAAAAAATGTACAAACATTTTATATTTGATTACTACTTACCGGGACCGCCAGGAAAAAAATGCGAAAAATTGAAAATTAGAAAAAATTTTGCTGCATCAATCTCCTTGTATTTCAGGTACACGGGGCTCGGCGCTTCTCCTCGGGCAATGCGGCTCGTTCGATCTTCTGCTCGACGGGTGGCGCGGGGGCTGCACGGTGGCTTTTGGTCGGTTTTCGAGAGGTTTTGCGTTATTTTTTGAAATCTTGGGCCTGAAATTTTCTGAGATTCCGGGGGGGGGGGGGTGAACTGAACTTTTTTCCGCCCAAGCCAAGATTTTTTGATATAAATAGTGAAACTGTTTGCTAAACTGTCTATGGCTATTCCTAAACATCAAAACTTTACAAAATCTAATTAAAAATGACCACATGGTCGATTTTTTCAAGCGTTTTTCTAACTTTTAAAAAAGTTTTTCCGATTCAAATAGGCTTAAATTTTGCTAAAAACAATGTGAAAACATGTTATATTTGGTTACTATCCCCACCAGGGCCGACAGGAAAAAAGTTGGTTCCCCCCCCACCGGGAATACGCAAGAACCGCTTTCACATTAGTATGTCTTTGCCAATTAGTATAAAGGATTTATAATTTACCTATTTGCTTTCATATTAGCAAGTCCGAAAATATGAGTTTCGTAAATCTTAGTATCACCGCGTGAGTTTTTGCTGCTGATTTCTCCGAAATTCGGTTCCGCCTAAATTTGGGACCATTTTCGTGGCTGAATTTTTCACAACAAAAAAAACTACAGTTATCCTTAATTGTTAATTGTTTAATTGTTTCGTCGCTTTAGGCTTGGGCTTCGGCTTAGGCTAGGCTTAGGCTTAAGGTTTAAAACTGAGACTTGGGCTTAGGTTGGATTCGAAAAAATCGACGGAAATTTCCGAATTTTGAAAATTACGTAGCGTAATCATTTTAACATTGCCTTCTTTCAGGCCCAAATCGATCCGGAATCTACTCGACGTGATCGGAGGCGGCGACAGAGACACACAACACCTACTGATCGGGTGTTGTGTGTCTATCGTGGTCTCTACACTCAATACCAGGTATGTCACTTTTCCATGGTCCGCTTGGCAGGCACCTGGCCGCTCAAAATTGCGCCGCAGGCCTAGTTGCACCGCAAATTTCACCGTCCAATCGCCACTTTTTTCAGCGGAACCACTGCGCTTCACGACGGCGTCGTTTTCATCGATTGCAAGCACGCAGGGCAGACAAGATGTCGTAGACGCCCTTCATCACATTCATCAGGTATCATTTCCTGCTCCCGTTTCCTACCCGGGTTTCTTTCAAACTGTCGAAATACACGGTGAAAAAATCCCCCCGACCTACCGGGCCGGAGACCTGACCGATTTTTACGATTTTGGTATCCATCGAGAGCTCTCAAAAAGGCGAGTCCAGCACGCCTCTCGAAATTTTCAGATTCCGGAATTTTTTGCCGGATTTTTGGTGTTTTTGATGCGAAATGGAGACGCTTTTTTCGCAAAACCCCAATTTTACCGGTTTAGGCCGGCCCTTTTCGCAAAAATATTAGTAAAAGTCAGCAAATAGCCGGGATTTCAAAACTTCGGGAGCCGTGCTTGGCTCGCCTTTCCGAGAGCTTTCGATAGCCACCAAAACCAGGCCTGGACAAAATGCGGGCCGGCCCGACATTTTTGTCTAAGTAAAAAAAATATAGGTTTTTGGACGGAAATTGTGTGCTATTTTGCATATTTATCACTCGCAAATAGCCTATTTGGCATTGTTATATAACCTCAGTCAAAATCTGGACGTTTTTTTTAGTTCAACCCCTACCAGGAAATCGACCCGGGTTCGGCCCCGCCCGGTGCCATCTTTTTGCTTTTCGGATTTTTTCGTCATTCGGACCGGGTTTTTTCATAGAAGTATAACGGTACGTCGCAGTAACGTATGAAACATTAAAATATCCACTAAACTAGCTAATTAGACCCCTAAATGGTTGAATTTAAGCTTATTTTCCGAAACTCCATCGATATTTATCCTCTAAAAATTGTTGATAATTTAAATCTTGAATTTTCTTGGCGTAAAAGCTGTAAAAAGGACACACGAACGCTATATCAACGGCTCAGTACCTTCAAATGGTGTTAAACCACGTTGGCGGGAGGTTTTTTGGGCAACCCTGGTTTGACCCCCAAAAAGTCGGGCCGGAAATATTTTTTTTGTATAATATATATAATCTGTATAATAGGCTAGTTTTTCTCGGAAAATCCCCGGAATCCTATGCAAAAACTTCGACATTTGGAATTTCGACATTATGCTAGCAAATTTCCCTACCCTGTTATTTTACAGCCATCGCCCGATCGCCAGGAGACCTCGTCTGTCCGACGATCCACTCATCCAGGCCAACCGCACCCCCACATTCCGCTCACCGATTGCCCCATCCAAAACAAGGTTCGTGCTCCTTGTCCATAAGTTTTTTGCTATGGCAATTTCGAATCGAATTTGTCGAAAATCAGAATATCGATTTTTATGTATGTCCAGAAGGCATCTCTAACTCTAGAAAAGAAAATTTCGACAAAATTCAATTTTGATAACACCAAATTTCCACAAAATGAATTCGAAAAACTCCATTTCGGCATTCTGATGTTGCGACAAATTCAAACCAATTCCGGTTTATGCATTAATTCCGTTGGTTTACAGATGGCCTCTCCACAAGACTACAGCACTGTCGAATTCCAGAAGGCCGGCTGAGACCCGAGAAACGCATTGCGTCCGTGGGACGGCGTGCCCGAGCAGTACAGCCGAAACGTTGCCCAGCACATGCAGCCAAGCCTCTTCCGCCAGCTCCCCCGGGGGATCCGGATGTGAGTTGATTAAATTTGTCATGTTTCGGCTTTTCCGATTTGAACTAAATTGTCCTAAAACTTTGTATATATTTCCCCGTGCATAGTCTGGTAGTGGAAGTAGTTCTCCGCTACTTAGGCTAAGCTTGGGCTTAGGGTTAGGCTAGGCTTAGGCTTAAGGTTTAAAACTGAGGCTTAGGTTTAGGTTGGATTCGAAAAAATCGACGGAAATTTCCGAATTTTGCAAATTACGTAGCGTAATCTTTTTAACATTTCCTTCTTTCAGGCCCGAATCGATCCGGAATCTACTCGACGTGATCGGAGGCGGCGACAGAGACACACAACACCTACTGATCGGGTGTTGTGTGTCTATCGTGGTCTCTACAGTCAATACCAGGTATGTCACTTTTCCATGGTCCGCTTGGCAGCTAAAAACTCTTTGATCACCCCATCTCATCAATTCCGCAAACTTTCTCGGCTAGCTTGCCTCTACTAGTAAAAGTTTTCGGTACATCTTAGGCTAGGCTGAGGCTTATAAACGTTTTAGACTGAGGCTTAGGCGTTGGTTAGGTTCGAAAATCGGCGCAAAATTTCCGAATTTTCAGTATTACGTAGCGTAATCAGTTTAACATTTCCTTCTTGCAGGCGCTGATCGACAGGACATTTTTTAAAAGTTTTTAGCTAGTTTTTTGCTAGTTGAAATATTGAAATATCGCTATTTATGAGTCTAGGGAGTTTCGGAACGGGTCCTTTCGCGTTATCGGGTGGGGTGAGGACTTTTTTCGTTTTTGCTCTTTGGGTCAAATGATTCAAATGTAAATAGGGGAAGTGTTTCTAAATAGTTTCGTACCATTCCTAAACGCGAAAACTTTGCCAGTTTGTTTTAAAAAAGATTTAAAACCAGATTTTTGGATAGAAAGGGTGATTTTTGACGGAAATTTCGCCTTTTGAGCATTTTGAAAAGTTTTTAGCTAGTTATTTTAGCTAATTTCTGGTTGAAATATTAGTCAGTTTGTATTTGTCGTTATTGATGAGTTTAACGCCCCGTTCTTTCAGGGAATCATCTCGTCGACGCAGTACCAGCAGCGGGCTCGAGGCTGGCGACGGAGATACGCCACCCCTACTTGCCGGGGGTGGCGTATTGCGGAGCGACTTCATTTGCTAGGTATTTGACTGTTTGAATGGTCCGCTTGGCAGCTAAAAACTCTTTGATCACCCCATCTCATCACTTTCGCAAATTTTCTCCGCTAGCTTGCCTCCGGGAGTCGTCGTGGTTCTCTGCTTGTCAAACATTTTTTGAAAATACTTGCTGCAATTTTATAGCAGTCAAATATCACTAAAACCAGATAAAAATATGAATACGTAAAAACTTACGACTAATTACTAAAACACCAAAAAGAATTATTTTTGTATCTCAAAAGGCTGATTTTCGAGGGTAATTCAAAACTTTCAGGCATTTTGCCCAAATTTTCCAAATAGTTTCTAGATACGGCGTTAAAACGATACTTTTGATGGCTTTTTTAACAATCGAAATCGTTCGGGCTGAACGTCTCTTTTGGGGTCAAGTTATTCGCGCTGGACCCCCGGTGCGCACGGGTCCGGGTGTCGATGGTCGTCGCGTGTAGTCACTGGTGGCGCCGGCTCGACTTTATCGCATTTTCGGCTCCTAGTCGTTTTGTTCGACGCGCAGCGCTTTCTGTTTTCTGCCTTGAATTGATTGTTCGTTTCCCTTTTTATTCCTTTTTTTGCAGAAACTATGGATGAGCGACAGACATTGGCCGCCGAGTACAAGCTCGTCCTGCAACTGGCCGTGTCGCTCAACGCTCGTCCTACTTTGGACGAATTCGCCAAAGCAGTTGCTGCAGCCGGGATTCAATTGAACCAGCCGCTGCTCGAAGTGGTCCATTCGCAGGAGCACGGTAATTTCTTTCTATTTTTCGCCTTTACGTTTTTTTGGCACTTGGGTGTTGCCGGGCGCGCGGGCCTTCTTTAGTTTTTTCGCCTGAAATTGGTTTGATCGTTCGCAATAAATGCTCCGCTGTATGCCTGGATAATACTCAAGTGTCATTTTTCAAACTTCATTTTCAGAAGAAATGGCGGCGCCGCTGGCCCTCGCTGCATTCACTCGGCTCATCATCCGAAACGGGCGAAACAATTTCGTCTACCACGAGGTCTTCGATGATGTCCTCAACACACACTTCATTCGGCGGGTGAGTCGTTTTCTAACAAGATTGATCCATTTTTAATTTAGGCTGCAACTCCGATCGGCGAGGTCGACGAGGATGAAGAAGCGGAGCGCCCCAGCAGCAATTCGAGCGGTATCGCGAGCGCCGGCACTCCCCCTCCACCCAATTAACTCGGCCTTTGCGCGGTGTTATCATTGTTCAATGTTATTTTTGTCAAGTTCACATGTTTTGTCCTCAAATCGTCTTTCTTTCAATTCGTCATCTCCAGGTATCTGAAAATAAAGAGTTATTGAGGGTTTGTACTATGCTGAGGTTTATGCTGGATCAATTCATTTTTTCACGTTGCGAGGCTTTCATGCCCGATCCGATCCTGGTTGTTTGGTGGCTGGCAGATGACGATAGGGGGCGCAGGAGATTCTCTGACAACAAGGAAAAGAATTTGCTTCTGTTTCGCAGCTGCTGCTGCTGCCGCGCTTTGCGTTGTTAGTTTCTGGGGACGATCTGACGTCCGGTGTTCACATTTTTGGCCAAAAAACATCGTTTGAAAAGCATTCAATCGGTATCGAAGTTAATAACTCGGGTAGTGCCATAGTTTAGGCTTCTCAGCGCGGCGCGATCGACTCAGCTGCATGTTTGCCACCCCTCGTAGTTTTGTCCTCACGTAAGGGGTTTGCAGCCGCTAAAAGTTGTTGTTAGACAATAAGTTCCTGATCATCTGTTAGCTTTCTAAATTAGATTTTAGAATCGACTTTCTAGAGTTTTTGGCCCTCAGACTGTTGGTATATAGTTTTTGGCTTTTTATATGGATTTTATTTAATTTGCTTGACTGCTCCGTCTTGACCTTTCTAATTTTCGTTTCCAGGCGGTCGAGATCTCGCGCGAAGAGCGGCAGCAGGCCGCTCCAAGAGAAGAAGCTGCAGCTCGCCTTCGCCAAGCAGGGAAGGTGCGTTGTTTTTCAAGCTTCTTCTTGGTAGTTCTTTTTAGGCGTGCCCATGCCGAGCGCCGTCGCAACATCCTCCCGCAACAAGCCGCCGCCTTCGCCAATGGTACTTTTACTTGGAAAATTGCTTTTCTAGTCTACCAGCTGTCCTTTAGCTTTTTTAGGTTAATTTGGACGTTTCTAAAGCTTGCTGAAACTTATAAAGTTAATTTTTCGGCCTTTCAAACTTCAGGAAAGTGGTTGAAGCTCACAACGCACGCAGACTTTGCGTGAAATCCTTTTTGAAGCGTTTTTCAAAGGCCAAAAGTTGCGTGCGAGCTGTTTTTGGCTTTTCTAACGAACATTTCGGCTTTATAACCGTTTCTACCGGTTTATGGCTTTGTTTTTGCTATTGAAGAAATTAGAAAAGAAACGATGTTTTCAAGCTTTGTAAAACTTTTCATTAGTTATTAGGCTTTTTAAAAGTTTTAAAGCTTATTCTTCTCAATTCCAGGCGTCCCGCGCGCGACTCTTACGGACGCGGAGCTGCAGGGGCTGCTGGCGGAGGCCGGCGTGCCCGCCCACACCTCTTCCACCACCGTCCAGCCATCCCAACAACCTCCGGAAACAGCACCGACGCCAGCAAGGTTTTTTTTGATGATTTTGAACATCTCCAATGAGCCGTCGGTGTGTCCGATGCTTATTGTCTAGGTATCAGTCCTGGCAAGGGCTTTCCGATGTCTCAATTCTCAATTTTTTTCGGCGTTTACAAAGCGTGCTCTTGTGTGGCACGATGACATCGTGTTTTTTTCGAAAAAAAGTATAAATGCCGAAAATACAGCGTTCGCTAGAATCGAAGGTGCTGGAAAAAGCAACCCGCGAATTTATCCTATATTTTTGAAATTCTGCCTAGTTTTCGGGGTTTTTGAGGAATATCTAATCCATTTTTTGGTCGCCGATTGGTGATTTCCGAACGGAAAAAACGTCGTGATTTGCTGAAACATATCAAAAGTTGATGAATCGGGAAGCACAGATCCGCTGGCTTTTTTGGGAAGCTTTCGATAGATACCTAAAACGTAAGAATCGACCGTTTTGTCAAGACTTTACCAAATTAAATTAATTCAGGGGAACGGTTTCGCGCACCCGAAATCGCAGCTGGCCAGCACGACGTCCCGGATGATCAGCCTCACCATCACCGAACCCACGAGCATCGCCATCCAAAAGGACTCGGTATTGGACTCCCTGAAGACGTGTGAATTTCCCAATTTCTAGGCCATCTACTGCAAGACGACGCAGACGGACGACGATCGAATCGGCCACGCCGACTTCTCAGATGGGAGCCAAGATCTGTGCTTCGACGACGACATGATGCCCTACAGACAGTCGCACGATGACAGGTATCTCTAGCTCCTCTCTCTCTCCCCCCCCCTCTCTCTCTCTCGCCCCTTCTCTCGCTTTTTCGGACCTCCTCGTTGAAAAATAAAGCATTTTTGAGGATTTTCTGGGCTTTTCTTTTGCTCGATTTTCGCCCCCATGAATTTTTTTTTTAGGGATTTTTAGGCTAGTTTCACTTTTCAAGTTTTGTTTGTATTTCGAAATTACCTAGCGGTTCCGTGATTTTTCTAGCGCTTTTTAATTGATTTCGGGCTTGCCAAAGGTTTTGCCGCACTTGTATGGACCGCCAGCGTTTTTGCAGAAAGTTTCTGAGGTATATTTTAGCGTTTGACAGCGCGATCGATCTCGCTGGTCTTCAAAAATTGATTTTGATTCGTTTTCCTTCTAGATTCGTGCGGTGCTTAGAAGATTTTTCACTCGCCAAGCTTTCAAATGCTTTTTTGGGCTACCAACGCTTTTTTGAAAGTTGATAAATGTATTTTGGCGTTGGGAAAGCGTCATTAGGTTTTTTAGACTAAAAAAATCCTTTATTTTGCTTTCTAGCGGGTTTCCAACCCTTTTTTACTTAAAAAATTGTAGATTTTCTTTTTTGCTTGTAAAAAAAGTTGAGTGATTTGCCTTTGGCGAGTTTTAATGATTTCTCCAGTTGCGTGCATAAAATTTGTGTACCTAAACTTTGCTTTTTCCCGTTTTAAAATTTTGGAAAGCTTCTTTTAGCTAGTCTGTGGTGGCGAGCGATCCGTTTGGAAGGTCCAGAAATCCCCCATATGCGCCGCACGATTTCCTGCCAAAAGGACGCCAGCCAAAATGACGACATGCAAAAGCAGCCATCATAGCTGAGAAAAATAAAGTTGCGACGTTATTTTGCATGTCGGCATGTTGACTGTCGCCATTTTGGCTGTTTCCCGAGCCGAGCGCCCATTTTTGTCGATTGGTTTGGGGTTTAGGGATGAAAATACATCTAAATCTACACCCGAAACAGTTTTGAGGCTTTATTTAGGGTTCTGCAGGTTTTCGCAGTGGAGCGGACCATGGTCATTTCGACAAAAATTGCCCTAAGAAGTCATTTGTCCTATTCCTTGGGGGGTTTTTCTTTCCTATTATGGCAAATTGGAGTGCGGCGAATATTTGCGGAACTTCAAAATTGCTTTTTCCTCACTCTAACACTTTTAAATGCTTGTTTTAGTGGGTTTTTAATGGGGGCCGATCACTTTGAAACGCCAGAAGTCCCCCCCCCCCATCTGCGTCACGCGCCCTTTTTATCGATTAGAATAGGTTTCTGGGTGAACATATATGGCGCGAGTTCAAACGCTGACTCGGTGCCGAGTTTCCTGGTCATCATTTCCATATCCACACGTTTTACGGGTTCTTTCGCACTATCGGGGGTCCTTTGGATTGTCATTTTTCAAGTATGAATAGCGCAAGTGTTTCTAAACTGTCTTTCACTATTCTTAAACGGAAAACGTTTACAAATATTACTGAACTAGAAAAAGATCGACTTTCCGCCAAAAACCGTTTTTGAAAATTGTCTCCTAGTTCTTCGATACTTTTTCCAGTTGGAATATGGTTTGATTTTGACAAATAAACTGAAAACACTTGCTAATCCGTTACTGGAGATTTATAAACTTATACAAAAAAAATTGTCTCTCCCCCCTCCCCTCCCCTCCCCCCCCCCCCCGATAATACGAAAGCACCGTTTTATGCTTACCGAACGCCCTTTTAGATCCGATGGTCGTTGCCGAGTTTGCGTATGCGAAATTGGCGGATTGTATGCAGCGTCTCGTCCACGAGCATCTTGATTTTCGGGAGAAGCGTCGTCTACGAATGGTCAGCCAGGTAGGCCATCCCCTCTACAGGGTGTGCCTTCATTTTGAGCATTTTTCATGCAAAAAGGACGCGCTTTTTGGTCAACAACTTTAGCTAGTTTAAGCGCCATCCAAGCTGTGTTTCCGCAAACGGCCGTCAAAAAGCTGTCGGTAGGCTGTCAAGAAAAGCGTAAATATTTTTGTTTTTTTGACCAACGGATTTTTTTTTTTAGAAAAATAACAATTTAAGAATTTTGTCAGAAGAGACGACTTTTTGGCAGCCGTTTGCGAAAACACAGCTTGGATGACGCTTAAACTGGTTAAATTCAGTGTTTGACCAAAAATCGTGTCCTTTTTGCATGAAAAAATGCTCAAAATGAAGCAAGGAAAATGGCGGAATTTCGAAATCTGAGAGGCGTGCTGGACACGCCGTTCCGAGAGCTTTCGATAGATAACTAAATCGCAGAATTCGGACAAGTTTGCGGCCGGCTGGGGGGGGGGGGGGACACCCTGTATTTCGTCCCGTGATCGGTTCAAGGCCAGCCTCTCTACCTGGCTGCCAGTTGGCCGATTCTGAGAGCTTGAAACCTAAAGCAATGATTTGCGAATATGGCTACCGCTTTCGGGAATAGCCAACTTTCGAAGGTTATGCGCTATTTAAGCCGTAAAAAGCCACGAATCAGCCGTTTTTGATGGACATAAAAAGCTTCGGAATCGCTTTGCCGAAAACAAAACAGCCGGCGCATCAGAATTCACAAAATAATTCGCTAAAAAACTGCTCAAAAAAATTGCAAATTTTGAAAATTCTGGTAACATCGGGATGTGTATAAAATTAATATAAAATGTGTAACAATTTTTCTCAATTTTTCAAAAATTTTCTTTCGATATACTGGACGGTTAGCGGGTGGGGGGGAGCTAATGTTTGTTTTTTTCGCCTGTGCCTACCTGTTAATAATAACTAGTGTGTGTGTGTGTTTTTTGTCGTTTTTGCTAAAAATTTAGAAAAAAACATGTAACAAAATTTAAAATGTGAATTTTTTTTCCTTTTTGGCCCTTTTTCAGACATTTGGGAGAAAAAAGTACAAAAAGATGCGAATATTTCATGATTTGGATGAGCTTTTTAGATTTAAAAACGGTGTAAAATGCCATGAAAATGGTTGATCGTCGAAAAAATCGTCGAAAAATTGCTAAAAACGGCGTTAAAATTCAAGTCAACCAATGCCCCCTCAAATAAACCTGTTGCAGCTGTTTTCGAAGTGGCCGGCCGACACCTTTCTCATCCACGGCCGATACAAGACAATCGAAACCGTCATCCATGAGGTAGGCGAGAGAGAGAAAGAGAGAGAGAGAGAGAGAGAGAGAGAGAGAGAGAGAGTGAGAGTGAGTGAGAGAGAGCAGAGAGAGTGAGAGAGAGAGAATGAGAGAGAGAAAGAAAGAGTGATAAAACCGGGTTCTTTCGCATTATCGGGGGGGGGATGGGGCATTTATCGAGGGAGACCTAACTTTTTTGTATGCGTCCAAAAATCCCTAGTAACTTACTAGGAAGCTTTTTAATGGTGTTTTCAGTAAATTAAAACGATTTCAACTGAGAAACGGACAAATTTATCGCTAGAAAACCGATTTTTTGGACAACGCTGGTACCGTGTTTTCGCTATGTTTTCGCAATTAGCATGCCGATTTTGAGTAATTTCCCCAAAAATGGCCCTTTTCGGGTCGGTTTCGGTCAATTTTGGTCATAAAAAGTGCTGAAAAGTCGCAATTTCGACGTCATTTTCGCAAACCAAAAAAACTCCTTTCGGTGAAAAAGGTGGCCTCTTCATTTTTGTCAAACATTTCGAGGTCCAAATCCAGCAAAATCCTAGTGAAATCGACAAAATAAAGGCTATTTTGATTTTTTGGTGAAAAATGTATGAAAAATGACTTTAAAAAATTTAAAATGTTCGAATTTTCAAAATTAAAAAATATTTTGTACAACTTTCTAGCAATCAAAAACTGCTAAAAACGCTAAAAAATTTTTTTTTGGGACACCCTGTATATCCGCCTCCCCCCCCCCCCCGATAAGGCGAAAGAACCCGAAAACAATGTGACAATCAGCCAGAGCGCGACCAACCGAACCCGGGAATCAGGGTGCACATTGCGAATGGGATGGCCCGGCATCCCTGGCTGCCATGGATTCGCGTGCGCATCATTCGCCACAGAAACGGAACCTTCTATCCAAATTTTGTATGCAGCTACTGCGAATTGGAGGCGAATGCCCCGCCGGGGGAGTTTCGCTATCAACCGGAAATTGCACTCAGGTATGCCCCGCCCGAATTCGCGATTCAGCGGAAAAAATTTGGTCCCCCCCGCTAACAGTCCAGTACCAAAAAAGCTGCCGAAAACCCCGTAAAGAAACGAGTTTAAAAGCTGGAACATGCTTTCTGCCTGCCAGTTAGCCGATTCCAAAAGTTTCGAGCAAAAAGCAAAAACTTTGCCGCGGCCGGGAGTCGAACCCGGGTCGTCAGATTGGCAGTCCGGGCCACTAGCCACTTGGCCACGGGGCGTTCGGCGCCGTGTTTTGGCGTGTATTTTGCCGGGTAGTTTCGCCGGCTAAACATCTCCGTTTTTGCTGAAGGATGGCGGGAGGCAGCGATGCCCAATATCGATTGCTCGACAAATTGACGCGTGGCGCTCGATCGCGTGAATTATTCCCGTATCAGGTACTAGCATACGCGGTATATCCGGAATTGTTTCTATACCGTAGGCGCCGCCACAATTCACCGCGATGCCCATGTTTCGTCGCGGAAATCTGGTGATACACCCGGAATTCGGGCCTCAGAGTAGGATGGGAGAGAGGTGAGAGAGTGAGAGAGAGAGAGAGCGAGAGAGAAAGAGAGTGTGTGATAGAGAGAGAGGGTGAGAGAGATAGAGAAAGTGAGAGAGCGAGAGAGAGTGTGATAGAGAGAGGGTGATAGAGAAAGGGTGACACAGAAAGAGAGAGCGAGAGAGCGAGAGAGTGAGATAGCGAGCGAGAGAGAACGAGAGAGAGAGAGAGAGAGAGCGAGAGAGAGAGAGAGAAAGGGAGAGAGAGCGAGAGAGCGAGCGAAAGAGAGAGATAGAGAGTGAGAGAGAGACGCCAAATTAGCACCACACGAATTTTCAGGTATTTCGAGATGGGTTCTTGGATGTGGCCGGGACTGCAACCCGATCAGGTAGATAGATGGCCGTCATTTAGCTGTCGTGTACGATTAGGGAAGGGCGGCCAAAGGAAGGCAACTTTTCAGACGTATCTCTTCTGGCCAGGGCTACGACCCGGAGAATATCTCGACGTATACTTGGATGCATTCCAGAAGGTATTCTCTCTCTCTCTCCCTCTCTCTCTTTCTCTCTCACCCTCTCTCTCAAAAAACAAAACTTTTGCCAATCGATTAAGCTATGAAATTCCTGAAAATCTGCGTTTCGAATAGATTACACGAGCAAAATTCTCTCTGCTGGCTTGATATTGGTTAGACTGGCAGTCAGTGTACCGATTCGCGCCTCTCAAATGGTCTCTGCTAGCTTACTCCCGCTTTGGCGATCGATTACGCTAGCAAATTCAGAAACACTTTAAAAACTAGTTTTTAATCGATTATGCAAGTAAATTTTCTCTGCTATCTTGCCATTAGCTAAACTAGCAGTCAGCTCACCGATACGCGCTTTCGAACGGGTCTCAAAAGCAATAAATTTACGGCAGCTGGCCGTCGAACCCGAGTCCCAGATAAGCCCGCGCAACGGGTTTGAAATCCGATTTTAAAGCTTGAAACGTACTGATTGGCTGCCAGTTAGCCGCTTGCGGGAGTTTCAAGCAAAAAGCAAAAGCTTTGCCGCGCCGGGGGGTCGAACCCGGGTCGTCAGATTGGTGGGCGCGGCCACTAACCACTTGGCCACCGGTTTCGGTTTGCCATATTTTCTGTTTTTCAGTTGATAAACTGCCCGGTGGTTCGTCTGATGCAATGCTACCAAAATGAGACTGAATGTATCCAGGCCCTTCCAGCCATTCAGCAACTATTCGAAAATATTCTTAAAGCGGTAGACGGGGGTGGTGATGGGCGGTAGTAACGAGGGATTATAGCCGAGAATCGACCGGGAGGATGGACGTCGCCTGGTCATTATTGACATACAGATACTCGTCACCGAGTTCCGAACCGAAGACCGGCTGCGGGTTTGGGATAAGGTAATTTCTCAAAAAATCTCCGCTAGCCGACCCTTTCTCTCTCTCTCTCTCTCTCACTCTCTCTCTCACTCACTCTCTCTCTCTCGTTCTCTCCCCCCCGCTAACAACCCAGAGCGCCTCGTTTCAGGCGGTGCTGCCCCACCTCAGCATTGAATACGAAAAAATGGTGCAAGTTGTGTGGGCGCTGATGGACAGTCTGCGGCCAATTGATATTCAGGTAGAGAGAAGCACGCGAAAAAATAGGGTTTGGCTCGAAAATCAGCGCCGAAACCCGTGGCCAAGTGGCTAGTGGCCGTGTCTACCAGTCTGACGACCCGGGTTCGACTCCCGGTCGGGGCAGAGTTTCTGCTTTTTGGTTGAAAATCTGAGAATTGGCGATCTGGCAGCCAGAAAACATGTCCCAGTCTGTTTAACCGCTTACGCTATGTTATTAGGGGTCTGGGGTTCGACTTCCCGCCGCGGCGGGGGTTTTGCTTTTTACCCGAAAATGTCAGCAGCTGGCACGTAGCCGTTAAAACGAGAGAGAGAGAGAGAGAGAAATTCAGAAAAACCAATGAAAAACGTGGAACCACCGTGGCCTAGTGGCTTGCGACCTTGCCTGCCAATCTGGCGAACATGGTTCGACTCCCCGCCGCGGCCGAGTTTTTGCTTTTTGCTCCAGACCCTGGAAATCGGTTAACTGACACCCGAGAATAAGGGAAGGCGTTATAAAATCGGCTTTTCAACCGCTTACGCGATGGAATGAGGGCCTCGGATCTGCCAATTTCCTCCAATTCTCTCAAATTTGCAGCTATACCAAGCCGACCTTCCAAAACTGTCCATCAAATGCCAGCCGATCCGCACACCCACTTGCGCCAATTTGATTATCGCTCAGAACTACGCATCGCCATGGCAGGTCTACGCACAAATATTACAGTCGAATACGGTTGGTGGATCTCGCTCTCTTTCGCTCTCTCTCACTCTCTCTCTCTCTCCCTCTCTCTCTCTTTCTCTCTTTCTCTCTCTCTCTCTCTGTCTCTCTCTCTCGCTAGAAGCAAAACTTTTCCAATCGATTACGCTATGAAATACCTGAAAAATTGCGCTTCGAATTAATTACAGGAGTAACTCATCTCTGCTAGTTTGCCATTAGTTAAACTGGCAGCCAGTTTACCGATGCGCACCTCTCAGATGGTCCCTGCTAGCTTGCGCGCACTTTTTGTAATCGAACACGCAAAGATTTAGAGATATCGATTTTTCTAAAGGAATACGAGAGCAAATATCGATTTTTCTAAAGGAATACGAAAGCAAATTTTCTCGGCTTGCTTGCCATTCGTTAAACTGGCAGCCAGTTGACCGATACGCACTTTCGAAATTGACCGAAAAGCAAAAAGCGGACCGCAGCCGGGAGTCGAACCCGAGGCCCGCATAAGGTCTCGTAACCGGCTTCAAAATTCGATTTTAAAGCCTGGAGCGTGCTTGCTGGCCGCCAGTTAGACAATTCTAAAAGTTGCGAGCAAAAAGCAACAGGTTTGCCGCGCCGGGGAGTCGAACCCGGGTCGTCAGATTTGAAGGCATGGCTACTAGCCATTGGACCACGGTTTTCGGCTCTGATTTTGTTTGCTAAATCGATTTTTTTCGGTTTTTCGTGCTCAGTCCCATCCCCTATTTCTCTTCAGAAGGACCCCAGGGATACGATGCCGCCACTGCGCTGCCTGTGGCCCCGCCCAATCGATCACGCCATCTAAACCGGGGGTAAAGGCTCGTTTTCACGTTTTTGAATAAATTTGGTTTCTCTCGTCGATTTGTTGCCAAAAATGCATTACATTATTGAGTAATAAAGCATTACATAATCTAATTGATTTTAATAGAAAAATTACATTTTTGCTAATTAATTATATTCCAAAGTATATTCTCAACAGTTTTAAGTATACTTTAAAGCTTTTTAACCATTACTGAACGTCAACACTTTACAACATTTGATTCAAAAAAATCCAAACAATTCCGAACGAAAGTTTAAAATGTTTAAATTGTTTGGGTTTTTTAAGATAGTCCTTCCACTTAAATTATGCCCTATAACGTTGTTAGGCTTTTCTGGCATTATTGAAAAAAATCCGGCGGCCGGAATTAGGTGGAAAGAATCGCTTTGTCGACAAATCAACGCCGAAAACGTGGCCAAGTGGTTAGTGGCCCTGGCCTGCCAATCTGACGACCCGGGTTCGACCCCCAGCCGCGGCCTAGTTTTTGCTTTTCGGCCGAAACTTTCAGAAGCGGCTAACTGGTAGCCAGACAGCATGGTGTAACTTTTACCAAAATTTTTTCATCCAATTACGCGATGTTATCAGGGGCTTGGGTTCCACTCCCGGGCGCGGCGAAAATTTTTGCTTTTTGCCCAAAAATGTTAAAATTGGCTGGCTGCTTTTTGTGAACTGACACGCTGGCTGGACCGGGTGTCGTGTATCGTGATTTGGATTGTATTGTATTTGCCCAGCCCCCCCCCGCTGCGAATTTTCCGGTGGGCGGCCAGCCGACCTCCGGGCCGATTTTCGGGCTTGTTCCATTGCAAATGGTCTCGGCTAGCTTGCCATAAGTTAAACTGGCAGTCAGTTTACCGCTTCGCGCATTTCAAATGGTCTCTGCTAGCAAGCCCCAACTTTTGCAATCGATTACGTGAGAAAATGCGCAAAAATCTTTTAAAATTATTTTTTAGTCGATTACGCTATTAAATGACCTCTGCTAGCTTGCCAAAGGCTAAAATGGCAGCCAGTTTACCGATTCGCACTTTCGAAATGATCGCAAAAGCAGAAAGTTGACCGCGGGCGGGACTCGAACCCGCGACACTAATAACATCGCGTTCCATTGTTCGAAAATCCGATTTTTTTTTTAGCCTGGAACGTGCTTGTTGGCTGCCAGTTAGCCAATTCCAAAGTTTCGCGCAAAAAGCAAAAACTTGCAGCGGCGGGGAGTCGAACCCGGGTCGTCAGATTGGTAGGCGCGGCCACTAACCGCTTGGCCATGATTTTTGGGCGCCAAATTTTTGTGTGGTGGGAAATATTGGGATCTGGGGCTCTGTCTGTCTCTCTCACTCTCTCTCTCTCTCTCTCTCTCTCGCCCCTGCATAATAATCACCCCTCCCCCGTTTTTGTGCATTTTATTGACCAATCGGGCTGCCCTTTTTCACACGCCCTCCCCTCCCTTCCGTATATTTGATCGGCAGAACATTTTCCGGATTCCCCCCCTGGAATCCACCATTGTTTTTTGCGATTTTTGCCTTCAACCGGCCTTTAAATTTTTAATTTTAATTTTGAGGGGCAGGCTAGCAGAGATTCTTTGAGTTGTTTTATTATCCATTAAAATTATTTTACAATTTTTATGTTTTCCTGGGAACGACACGGCTTTTTTGACGATTTTTGCCTTCAGCTGGCCTTTAAAAATGGATTTTGGGGCGGGCTAGCAGCGATTTTTGAGGAATTTGATTGTTTGAAATGTTGTTCGGAAGGCGTAAAACGGCGCGGCGAGGCAAAACATGGCAAACTAAAAAAATTGAAAATTGAAAAACAACAAAGCGTTGATTTTCAGGTTCCGCATCTTTTTCTGAATCTATTTATGTTTATTCGCATTTTTTTTAATTGGCTTTCTGAGGATTTTCAGGGATTTTTCACCTTGAGAACGCTTCCGGCATTATCCCGAGCGCTTCATATTGATCTTGGAAAATTTGTGAAACATTTTTCTGAAACTTTGGTAATCTAAAGTTTTGGGTTTAGTGATTTTAAAACATTTTAAAACTTTTTTTTGTTTCATAAATTCCGCTTTTTAAAGCAGGGGGCAGCCTAGCAGCGACCATTTGAGAAGCTGCCAGGGGCAGTCTAGCAGAGATCATTTGGGAAAAGTGGTTTTCCCGACGATTTTCTGAACTTATCTGAGACAACCAATTTCATTAGCTCGAGCGCTCCATTTTGGTTCTGGGAAAAGTCATGAAACATTTTTTTGGAAATTTTTGAAAAAATCGTTTTAAATTGAACGTTCATTGATTGACAGTTTGTGGTTTTTTCAAATTTTATACCGTGATCGGTTGCATTTCGAAATTTGTCAATTTTCGAGGTTTTCATAGCGTAATCGCTCCCAAAAACGGGTGGGTGGTTAGCAGAGGCCATTTGGGAAGTGCAAATCGTTTAACTTGCTGCCAGCTAAGCTATTGCCAAGCCAGCAGAAAAATTTGGGGTTTGGCAAGGAACGCTGGCAGGGATTCTTTGCTAAAAAATCAGGTACCCGGGGCACATGGTCTCTGCTAGATTGCCTAGAAGTAATTTTAAGCTCGGAATCGAGAGGCTGGCTGACAGTTTAAGGAATGAGCAGGCTAGCGGAGATACTTTGGCACACCCGGGCAAGCTGGCAGGGATTCTTTGCTCTCAAAAATCGGGAACGCTTGGCAAATGATCGCCGCTAGCTTACCTAGGAAAAATTTTAAGCTCGCAATCGAGAGGCTGGATGTTAATTTAGGGGATGGGCAGGCTAGCAGAGAAAATTTGGGGCTCTAGGGCAAGCTAGCAGCTATGATACTTTGCTCGAAAATCAGGCGCCCGGGGGCAAATGGGCGCTGCTAGCCTGCCCTGGGAGGATTTTTCGGCAGATTCAAAGGTGACATCGGGGGTGGGAGTGAGAGAGAGAGAGAGAGAGAGAGAGAGAGAGAGAGAGAGAGAGGTTCGCCCTTCGCGCTCCCCTGTGATGATTTATGGGATTTTCGCTGCCTGTCTGGATCGGGCGGCACCCCCTGGAAAAGCCACTTTCCACGACTTTTTTGGCGATTTGCCAGATTCTGCAAAGAAACTCTGCTAGCCTGCCCTCGTTTTTATCTGACTTTTCTAGAATTTTTCCAATTTGTTTGAAAATTAGTGTTTCTGATTTTTGGTACCCAAAATTAGATAATTTTCTGGTAATAATTGATCTAGCAATTCCGCAATTAATCTCTGCTAGCCTGCCCTAAAAACTATCATAATTTTCCTCAAAGATCCTCTGCTAGCCTGCCCTCGATTTCTATCGAAATTTTCTAGAATTTTTTCATTTTTTTGAAAAATGATGTTTCTGATTTTTGGTACCCAAAATTTTCGCGAAATCATCGTAAACTTGAAGTAAGTTAGCTCATTCGAAAGCGCTTTTTCTGCTGAACAAGATGCACTAATGGGTTGTGGCAAATTTCCATTTCCTGGGCCTTTACAAGCCCATAAAAGTCCGATTTTGGGCGATTTTACCAACTTTGAAGCTTCATAACTTTTTCTCTCCGTTTTATTTAGCAAATTCTGATTACAGATTCGGAATCCCCGTGTCCGATTCTATCAGATCCATTATGTCTCGTGTCGATTTCTCGTGGGCCGGTCGTGCACTTCCCTTGTGAGTTTCAAAAGTTGCCTTCTCCAAATCCAACAATAATCCCTGCTAGCCTGCCCCCAAAAATTTTCCAATCGTCCCGAATTTCTCAAATTGCTTCTGCTAGTCTGCCTCTACCAGAAAAGTTAAAAAAGCGGATTTTTTACCGTTTTGAAAAATGTATGTTTCATCTATATTCCATTCAAAATTGCTCAAAATTGTTGCAATTCATTTGGAGTTTCCAAGTTTCCGAGCTCAAGTGGCTAGTAGCCTTGCCTTCAAATCTGACGACCCGGGTTCGACTCCCCGGCGCGGCAAACCTGTTGCTTTTTGCTCGTAACTTTTAGAATTGTCTAACTGGCGGCCAGCAAGCACGCTCCAGGCTTTAAAATCGAATTTTGAAGCCGGTTACGCGATCTGATGCGTATCAAACATTTGGCAAATCCGGAGCAATCCTGATATGAAAGTGTTGAACTCAATATCTATTGCAAAATCAAAGCCTAGAATTCCGCAAAGAACTCGGCTAGATTTTGTTTTTTCTCAAAGAGTCTCTGCTAGCTTGCCCCGGGATTAAACAGGATTTTTCTGGAATGTTTTTTGAAAAACTATCTTGCTGAATTTCAGTACAAAAACTGTAGCAAATTTGAAGCAGTGCTTCCAGGGTAATCTCGTGGGGTTGGTCCGCAAATAATCTCTGCCAGTCTGCCCTTAACTAAACGTTAAAAATTTCTTTGCTATTTTCAATTTTGATGTTTCTGATTTTTGGGACACAGGACGGCGGAAAATTTTGTCAATTTTACGGCACTTCCCTTCGCTCAAAAGCTTAACGTCTCCGCTCGAGCAAAGAATCCCTGCTAGTCTGCCCCCTAAAATTTGTTAATGTTCCCGAATTTCTCATAATATATTGCTGCTAGGCGTGTTATTTCCCTAAAAGTAAAAAAACCGATTTTTTTGGACTTTTTAAAAATGTATGTTTCATCTTTGTTCCATTTAAAATGGCACGAAATTTTCGCAATTGTCTGATTTGACAGAGTTCCAAAAGTTGCCGGTTCCAAATCCAACAAAAATCCCTGCTAGTTTGCCCCCAAAAATTGTCCAATCTTCCTGAATTTCTCAAATTCTCTCTGTTAGACTGCCTTTTGCTCTAAAAGTACAAAAAACTGATTTTTTTATAATTTTTAAAAATCTATGTTTCATTTATATTCCATTCAAAATAGCTTGAAATTTTTGGAATTTAGTTCTCCATTCTCTGGGATTTGCTCGGATTCCGCAAAGAATCCCGGCTAGCTTGCCCCCATAAACTTGCCATGGTCCCCGAATTTCCTACATTGTCTCTGCCAGTTTGCCTCTGTCAGAAAAGTTTAAAAAAGCTTTTCCACTT